GAGAACGCTCTGCTTATTGCTCATTCGTGCTACTCAGTGGACAGAGTTTAGGAAAAACAAAGAGCATCTAGTTTTAGAAATGATTACACATTTAAATGGGCTTCTAAATACTAACGTTATCTTTCTCTGTTCCGTGTTTTTGCGTACTTTAAAATTCGCATTTTATATCAAGTACTCGTTTTGGTCTTGAAAACTATCTCTTCGATTTCAAATACATCAAATGAGTTATTAAAGTTTCATACTATTCTTGAATAACATTTTGACAGGTTTCAAACTATTGTTTTTCAGTCGCCCATTTTAGCACAGGAACTGGACAGTATGTTGGGATAAATATGGCGTTTCTGACTTATAAATGTATCTGCTTTTGAAATATATATTTGACACCACGGTGTACCATGTATAATTAAAATTGCTACTTCGTTTTTAAAGAAGGAACCAGTGCCTTTTACGTTTTGTAGTCTAACTAGTGTATGAACGTCTTCTGCTATTTCCTCTGTAACGGATTTTTTTATAGCCTACATTTAGTGCCAAAGTAGTTTTCGCTGAATAATTTATGGATAACTGACAACCATCGGGTAGAGTCGGTTGAACTATTTCAATTTGCATTCATTTTCGATCTAACGGGCTGCTTCCCCTAGCATACTCAGGAATACTCTGGTCTTTTAAGGAACGACAAAGTTGATCGATGTCTATGTTCGGGTTCTTCAGTGGCTTGTCACTTGGAGTCCTCATAACTGGCCTTTGCTACAGAGTTGTTATGGCAGGTAACCAATCTATACTCATTTTAAAAAAAAATTTGGTCTGCGTCTCGATCGTTTCGCGTAAAACGTCCAACATGCAAAGTTTGCACTATCTACACCCACACAAGACCGATTTTCCTCACTGACTTCTGGTTTAAACATATATTTCAAAAGAACTTTACCCTTTTGTTTCTTCAATTCACAACGGTTAAATGGTTTTATATCTAAATTTTATGTATTCTTCCATTGATTATTTTCATAATTTCGTCTCCAGTAATTATGGCGTCATTTTTTCATGAATAGCTTAGCCGGAGGTCGGTTCTTCAAAACTATCTTTGCTCTACAGGGCTCTTGACAGCTCAAATGAAGATCTTGCTCGCACACCAGCCTCCATAACGTTTCTTATGTGATGTTTTTGTTTGCTGGCCAGTAGAAAACCCAAAAATACCCTGATATATAGCAGCCTTAGCTATAGCGCCACAAGTCTCTCTGTACATGCACCTTTTAGGCTTTTAAAGGGTCGCCATTCTCTTACGCTGTTTATTAACAAGTACCCTCTCCAAACTGAATAAATACAGATGGACCTTCTCGTTTTCTGACTTCAAAATTTGCAAAGTGGATTGCTGTTTTTGAAGAATTAAACTTTAGGGGCCAGTTATTTAAATGGAATTTAACCCGTGTTTAACAAAACTCTGAAAACCGCGTTCTTTAGCCATTTTCAGTTTGCCCCACGCTTTTATCTGTTATTAATCGAGAACAAATTCAATGTTAAAAGTATATAGGGTAGACTGAAAAAGCACTCATTTTCGTAAATTAAACCACAAAGAAGGAAATTTAGAGCTCCAATGATGTTTTAAATAACCAACGCTAGGGTTCACAATGAAAGACTACTCTGTGTCAATTCGAGCGCCATAAAATCGCGTTTATTAATTACTGAAAATTTATTTGGTCGGTTAAAATTGAGGATAATCTGCTGACTATGGCGAGCGAATTGGTGGGCAAAGAAGGTACACCACTACTTTATACACCTTGTTTGTGTCTCGCATTTTGTACTCTATATTTTGCGCCTACTACAAATGCCTGCTGTAATTTAGGGTAGTTAATTTATATTTTTATATATAATATAAATCTCCGAATTCATAACAGCTTTTGAGTTTAATTTGTCTGTTATTTTTCAGATCCCTGTATAGTAACAATTCACACAAATCCTTTTATTAAGAGGATGGTAGCTGCAAGAAGAGTGGCATGCTTTAGAGGTGCTAAAAATCTCGAGGAGAAACTCTATGATTTTACAACTGAAATCCAGTCAGGAATGGCTGACACTTATGATGTAGTGAAAAAGTGCGCTCTGTTGACTCGTGCTAAACAATACAAGATGTTCGCTTTGGGAATGGATGGTCTGTGCTTGTCTGGTGCTGACACTCAAAACAAATACCATATCAGTGGTACGAATGGGGCGGAGTGTAAAGACGGTATCGGCAAGGGAGATAGTATGTTCGTTTATTCCTTAGATTAGTGTTGAGAATTGTTCATCCTCGTTCAAAAACTAGAGAGTTTAGTCGTGGACTGTGCCGCTGCAACAAGGCAGGCACATGTCTTTAAAATATATAGAAACGTGTTTGTTAACAATTTTCTGGTACCACGATGTCTTGTAGATTTGTAAGATATCTGTGATCAGTTTGATATATATTCACCTTACCAAAAAAGAAATGGGACTTGTTATGAGCGAAAATAGCGAATTATGTTTGGGGAAATTTATGGCCTAAATGAACTGCATGGTCCTTTCTTAAAACGAAATATACACTTCTGAATGTAGGTATAGTATTTGTCAAACATACTTTAAAATTTAGAAAATGTAAAAATATTTCAGATAATAAAAATACTTTTCGCGATGTACCATGAATATGACACCTAAAAGTCACCACAGTATTTTTTCGTTAATCTGTCCTTTCCAAGAGCCTTTAATGCTCTCGACAACTCATTGAATGTTACTGATTCCCCTCTGTCAAACCAAACCATCAACATTTGAAATGATTTTTCCTTTACACCTGGATATTGCACTGGATCAGCTTGTATTTCATCAATGCTGGCGTTCGGTACTTTCAATTTTAAGTCCTAAAGATTTCCAAAATTTGCCAATGTTGCGTGATCAGTCGTCAAGAACTTCCTCTGTGAGGGCTCTTTCAATTTCTCCTTCACAACCTTTGACCTTTTGGTGGGGGGTTGCATCTACGAAAGAGAACGATAAACTTATTCATGGCTGGCTCCACGAGTGGGCAAAATGAAGCGGATCCTTGCTATGTTCTGATGGGCTAGATAGGCCTATTTTGTCAGCTTAGTTTTCCAACTTTGTTCTCGCAAGAAAAAGAATATAAACTTTGTCTCTGAAGATTACTACAGCACAGGTTGTCAAGACGTTAGTCAGTGTCAACAACAGTTCTGTTCAGGACTATGCTCATCACCACCCCACCCCACCCCCCGGACAATCATATTCTACCTGTAGCTTATGACTCGTGAGTTCAAACCATTTACTATCAAAAACAGTTTATATAGTGACATAAAAAAACTTTGATAAACCAAGCCCGCTCGGTAAAGGTGGCTGGATGTATATGCCTCTTACTCGTCAAGGGGAATGCATATATGTCAGTGGTCAATCATAAAGGTTTTAGTTTATCAACCAACAAGGAGATGAACTAAAAATTAAAGAAACAAAAGTTTCAAGACTTAGCCTTCGTTAGAGGCTCCATTTCTTTTGTTAAGCAACAGAGAGAAAAGAGAAAAGTTAGTGGCAAACTGGTTCACAAGATATATCTCGCGAAAAGTTGCACCGAAACAATGCGGGATGACCATCGACTTAAACATCCTAGGGGGCAAAAAAGGCAGTTAATTTAAAAGGAATTTTCAAGACGGGGATACCCTTGAGCACTTGTTTTACCGAACGAGGTCCAGAAGCAATTCAATTGCGTGCGTCTGATTTGCCAGAAAATATCCGTTCTCTGAGTAAAATTTCGCCCGTGAACATTCCTGTCCCGTTTAGGGGCCACAGAGTCACCGAGGGGGCCGCAAAATCGCCAGCATGAAATAATGCATCTCATGCTTAATATATTACATCAATCATTCTCAGATCACTACATAAATAACATTCATCAGATTCACGAGAAATAATTTATTAAGACGATGCTGTTAAGGAAGTTTTGAACTGAAATCAAATGCTAAAAATAATAAATTTTTAAAAACTTCTACGACAATCCTTTTTATCAAAATTCAGATATCCTGAAGTCAGTTAAAAAAAACCAACACACAGTTCGACCTCTTATATAGCTGGCATTTTACTCATTTTATTTGCGGGTTCGGACTGTAATTTCCACCCGTGACATTCCAAACATATTTGAGACCTTTTCTTTAAATTACCGGTAAAAAAGAAAATAGTCTTGTTGTTTCTTCACAGCGATAAGCATTACTTAGGACTTATAAGGGAGTTCTACATAAAAGGACCCTCATTTGACAGGGAAGTTACATGTGCAATATGTCCCAGTAATGTGTGTCCTGGAGTCAGGGACATCGGTGGTAGCTATGACATATGGTTGACAAAAATACCCTGCTTTGAAGCTTTATAGCGCACTGCGGAGCCTGATCCCAGGCTAGCATCACAGTTGCTAATAGCGAGCTTAAGCAACGAGAACTTTGACGTCCCGGACGTCATGATTTAGCAATCGGAAGTTCGATATCTCGCTTGATGGAACGTTTCTGTCTCACACAACGAACCTAAACGCCTTTGTTTTAAGTCCCGCTGCTCGAATTTGTCGAGTCAGAGCACTGAAATAGCGAAAATATCAACTTCTGGTTGCCATTTTTAACGTTCGGGACGTCAACGTTCTCGTTGCTTAAGGACCCAAATGATGCATTGATTCGCCCCCTGTAATGGAACTGAAGACTGTCTTAGATTCTGGATTCTACAAGATTAAAGACTCTGTCAATCGGAACTTGGATTCTCATCGCTAGTGGGATTTCCCATTTCAGTTTTGAGCTGTATTCTAGATTCCACCCGGTAAGCCCACGACGGATTTCCTTACATGGGAATGGTTACCCGGTTGGAACGAAGGAAGTTATGTTGAGGGAAAGAGAAAAGGCCATTCAGCTCGCAAGACTGACAGACCAATTGAATTTTTGGTATCCATGGTAACGACTTTGTCACCATGGTAACTCTGTCGGAGCTCCTTTTTTATCTTTGCTTCTCAGCACGTGTTCTAAAGGGTATGCCGGGAAATGCAATAGGCTTGGTCACTCAGGCTGGCGCGAAAAGAAAGAAATAAAAAGAAATGGATTCTGTATTTATTGTTAAATAAGATTCCTTTTCTTTCGCGGGAAAAGAAAATGCCAGACGAAGAAAGAGTGAGGACGAAACGGTTGGTTTCATTGTTTTCTTTTTTCTGGTCAAGTGCCGTTTGTTTACTACTTTGTAGTTTCCAACTGCCATCGTAAACTGCCGTGACATTTCATCTATCTACCGCCAAACGTGGAATTGAATTTTGGTTTTTCCTTAGACGAAAGCTCGAGAATATTATCACAAAACTCCATCAAGAGACGCCCCTGGGAACGGAAATTCAAGAAGAAGAAGAAGAAAAGCTGGTAAGATTTTTGTTTTGATCTAATGTGTTGCGTGAACACTTTCTTGTTCTCACATGTGAAAAGGACTATTTTGACGACACAGATCTGTGACAATTAATAAGAGAATACCGGCTTGCGATATTTGCATATAAACACTCCATTAACCCCTTCTTGACTTTACCGTTGTTAAACAAGTGACATCCTTGTTTTTTTCCGTGCATTATAATCGCCAAATCGCGCGGTTGTATTGTGGGTTTTCGTTTAAAAATGTTCTTGTTCAAAGGTTAAGCTTAATTATTCGATTCTCATCGCTGCTAGGTTACTTTTTATGTAACCTTGTTTTTAATACTTCCGATGATTTTGGTGGCGATATAATTTATTTTGGAGCGGAGTGATAAGTGAACGTGGAATATATGATTTGTTTTGGTGTCATATATTTCACTGAAAATAATGTTCGGTTTTAAAATCTAAATATAGAAATGACCATGCCAATTTCCCCAAAGAAATTTGGATGTACGGTGAAAACGAATTATCAAGAAATAACACTCATCAGTTGGCAGGATGGGTATAATACATAATTTAAAAAAAAATCTTCTTCCCGTTATGCTTCTTTGCTTAAGGAGGGCATTTATTACATTCTGAATGCCCTCCCAGGGTCTGGGAACTTTACTCCAGTATGTCTCTCTTCACCCAGGTGTATAAATGGGTACCAGCAACATACTGCTGGGGGGTAACCCTGTGATGAACTAGCATCCCATCCATGGGGGAGTAGCAATATTCCTAGGCATGCTTCATGCTCAGGAAACCGGGATAAGCTCCGGTCATTTGGGCCTTTGGCTTGTGTGTGCCTTTATCTCTTGTTTATAAAAAGTAGTACACAGCAGTAACAAATGTGAATTGAACTTAAATGCAACAGCTGTAAATTATAAACACTGATCTTACATACACTGTAGGTGAAGTAAATGCAACAGCTGTAAATTATAAACACTGATCTTACATACACTGTAGGTGAAGTATGTGGTGAACTTTGGCATGATTATTTTGTAGCTAGAATATTCCTACTTTCTGCAGAAATTGGGTGTGGGTCACTTTTGTTACTGTGGTTGTGATGAGAGGGTTTGAACTCACATTAAAATGAATAGTGCAATATTCACCAAGTTTTCTTTCCAAAAAAGCAGCAGTACAAGAGAAAAGTCTTGCATGTGTAAAGGTGCCAAATAATCTATAAATAAATAAATAAGTCAAAAAAAGAAATAAATAAAATAAAAAAACATATTTTTAGATTTTTGAGGTGCGTACGTGCAAATATATGGTCGCTACACCCCTGCATGAACTTTGATCTGCTTTATTCTTGTGACCACTTTGTTTTGTAAAGCATTGTTATGACAAGGAGGAATTTGATGCTGATCGTTTTAAGGGCTTTTCAAAAAGGTTAAACAGGATATTTTATATGGTCAGTTATTTTAAAAACGTATTGAAACATAACGTGTTTGCGTTCATGCATGATGGCCTTTTGAATATCATATTTCAGGAAACACGCTCTCTGGTCCTTTCATAGGACCATTTTTAAACTAATAATATTCCAATCTTCCCAAAACGTATCTTTATAAAAATGCATTTACCTCTTTTTGTATGATTTCTTTTGACTACAGACTTATAAACTATAAAATAATATAAAGACAAGCAATGGCTAAAGGGTCTTGTTTGGTCTGACTTTACTGTATTTTTCCTCTCTGTACACGTCGAAGACTATTTCTTTGAGGCTACGAGACACATGTATTTCTTCCCTGACGTAACAGGTCACGCTTCTTCCTCATGTCATATAGCATGCTCACTTATTTGCGTTTGTGACATGTTTTATGTGTGTGTGTGAATTTCATGTTACTTCGGATTTGTTGTCACGTTTTATTACATTTCTTGAATTGACACAGCTAGAATTTGTGTTTGATATTCCATCAATTCATACTTGCGTTGTGTGTTATTTGAATTGCATTGTTAGTAGTCAATAATGTTGATTTGTCCGTTGGATTAAATATTGGAATTGATGCCGTAAACAACGCACAGTGACAAAATGCACACTTTCGCTCTTTATCTAGTTGCTATAATTTTTATTCTTTACTTAAGTCAATATGTTTATGACATGTTGGTGGTTATATTATGCACTTAATGTCTGTTCCTGAGGGAAAAGAGGGAAAACAAAACTAGCTGGCTTCCCGAGGGAACTGACTTTAAGTGTTTTACATTTCTAGACTTTCACTTCAACAGCAACAAAAGAATAACCGAAGCAAATCAAAACAGTCGACTCGGTACTTACAAGAACACAAATTTAATTCTCAAAACCACTAAATGAATGATTTAGACAATACTTTCCTTGTATTATCTGTATTTTTCTGCTCCACCACTAGCTGCTGTTTCTCTTCTGGGATACCTTTGAAAATCGTTTCTTTTTAGCTTGAGGCTTCATGTTTGTGTTGGTGTGTTCATTCTCGAAAAAGAAAACTGGCAGTGTTTTTCCCTCCTTCTGTATGCGTACAGAAGGCTGAAAAAACACTGCCAGTTCTACCATTCTCTGATCACATGCTGTAATGTATACCGAATGGGGTACAATTGCTTAAATGTATCACGATTGGGATACATTAATTTTGATTTTAGTCAAGGCCATGTCACTGAGAATCAACCATTGGCAGTCCCTGGTGAGTTGAGTGAAAGTCTAGGAATATAACAATACATGGTACACTGCTTATGTTGTTGAATATTTTTTCGCAGACATACATGTATTGACTCTTAAGGAGAAGTTAAGGTTGCAAATAATATTATTTTTAGTGGTTTTTCACGACATATCCAACCATGTCATGGTTGTTAATCCCTTCTGTGTTTAACTCTTGAATTGTTGATGAGTTTTAGAAAATTAGCTAAATTGGGTGCTTTTTTGTAGAGCAAGGCAGCAAAGGAAAATGACCAAATTAGCCCCAAAAATGAACTATTGCCAGGATCGTCAAAACGGTAAGCTTATAAAAATAGTCTAAGTGATAACTATTGCATTGTTGTAACAAACAAAACTGTTCTTATTAGATCTTTCTGTTTTGCTATTATATATAAGTATTATTATTGTTGTCCCTTTGTATCACTCAACAGGGGCGTAGCTAGCCCATAGACATGTAGGCCCCAGCCTACAAATTGTTGGTTTGATCACTCTAGCTCTACTGCTTTTAATAAATTATGCGTTGTTGGGGTGGGCTAAAAAGCTTAAGAACTCAAAGTGTTGGTGAGGTTAGTGCGTACTAGTTATGCCCGCAATTTTCAGGATAATTATGTGGAAATAAAAGTCAGCCAGGCCTACAATAGAGAGGAGAATTCGTTACGTCACGTTGCCATGGTAGCAAAATTTTTGGATGACAGCAAAATAAAAACGTCACTTAAAAAGTGAATTTGCACATCTTCAAACTTCATTGCCGGGTTCCCATGGAGAACTCCCTGCGGTGTCTGGATTACCTTGGGTCCTTCCCCGCTAACTTTTAAGGCACCAGTTCTCAAGCTCATCAATTGGCGATGAGAATTAATGTTGGCGATATTTTCTTGGGTTGAATCTGAAAGGACCTTGTCTAAGTTTAGAAAAGGAAAAAGACAACTTTTGTGTTGTGTTCAGCTACTCCATAAAGCAAGCGTGTGAAATTAGGAAGTTTCATGTCATAGGGGTGGTACAACGATGCAAAGAAATGTACAAAAAAGCGTGATGCACGAGCAAATTTGTTGTTTTGTGAATAAAAACCTCTTACTTTTTTTTCTGTTCTCCTTTTTTGGTTTTGTTGTCATCCAGCAATAGTGCTACCATAGTGATGTGACGTCATACTTCTCTGTTAGTTGAAAAACTGGCTATGCCGCTGCTCAATGTGTCATTTTGGTGAAAAAAATACCATAATAGAGTAATAAAAAAAATGAAGGAGTGATAGGAAAACCTGTATTAATTTGAATTGTTTTTGGCCATACAGGAAATTGCACAGAGCAGTAAAACATAAGCATACTGAAGAAGACACTCATCCCCAAGAGAAACCTCCAGTAACGGATGATGATGCTGATCTGCATTTCACTGAGAATGGCATGGAAGTTGAAGATGAGCAAGCAGTTCCCTGTAGTGGAGAAAGTAATACAAACAAGGAAATGCAGGAAGACTCTGTCCCAGTAGTTGTTAAGAAAGAACCTGAGGAAAATATTGAGAATTCATTAGAAGGGCTCCAACAGATGCTTGGCTTTAGCATTAGTGGTGAAGGGGTCAAACAAAAAGAAGGGGGTGGTGAAAAGAAGAAGAAGAAGAGGCTGCTGTCTGAAGGTTCTGATGCAGAAGGTAATGGTGAGAAAGTACAGTGTTCTGTCCAATAACTAACCCAAGAAAACAGCAAACCTTTTCGCGATGCCACCAGGGTAGTTTCTCAATCAATTGACTTCCAAGGAACAAGCACAGAAATTCCATGCTGATGAAGCAGCACCCCTCAGATCTGGGTAGTGCTTCTGATTGGCTGAAAATTGGCTTCGACCAATCAAAAGTACCACCCAGATCTTGGTAGCAAACATCACCAGTATGGAAATTCTCTGCTGGTTCCTCAGGACTTTTTTTTGCGGGAAAACCAGTGGCGGTGTTTGCTAAATGTCACCTGTTTTCTCGGACCATCCAGTAACGAGTACTGTATCATGAACTTTGACTACAAGTACACTTCACAAGTTTTTTGCCTTAGATAATAACATTTGTGTCTTTGTTTTCGATTGTGCATTTTGACAGTCTATGGTGTTAAATGAGATAGTGAAAATTTTGGAAGTTTGGTGGATAGGTACTTCGTTATTCTTGAGCTATTCCTGTAAAAGTAACCCTGAAGGTAACATTGCCTTTTGAAGTTTTTCCTCTTAATTCAAGACATGCCATTTCATTTTTAGTCCTTGCGTTGCCCAGAAGAGTGGAATGTACAGCTTGTGGGAGGAATGTGAATCCTGCTCATGGAACTATTTGCAGGCACCCATGTCTCAATGTTCTGGTCTGCAAAGTAAGCAAGTTTCCTTTTACTAGCACTCTAAAGTAAGCTACTACCCTCTCGGGAGTGGTGGATTGTGTCGCTTATTATGTCATTCTTGTTGTGCGTTATGGGGTTCCTGTTATGCAGGACGGGATTCTTGTAGCATGTGATATCGTAAAAACTCTAAGTATCTGGTAAAATCCTTGCACAATTTTAAGAATCTATCTTTAAGTTTTTTCTGGGATCCACGACCTGTAGGCTGTTGAGTATAATATGCCTTGTAAAGTATTGACAACTAACATGTCAGCATTTTACATCAGAGATGTCACTAAGATTTCAAGTAAATGCAACAAGTATGCAAGGAATCAAACAGGTAGAGATTTGTTTTGGTTATTTTTCTTCTATTTTCCTATGAAAGTTGTCGAGGACCATGTTCATAATAGCTGGGGGGCTATAGTTCATAATAGCTGGGGCTGGGGGATCGCACGTGGTGGCCATATTAACCTGGTTCACTCTATATTGAGACAAACGATAAACTAGGCCTGTCATACACATATTACAATTTCACTATAACAAGAATATTTTTATTAACCAGTGATTATGCACTATTTCAATCTAGATATCCCTTTTTTTCTAGAAATGCAGCCAGTACTACAACTCTGGGCCTTTTACCCGTGACGAGTTTGGTGTAGAGGAACAGTGTCGTTGGTGTGGAGATGGTGGGTCACTCATTTGCTGTGACAAGTGTGACAAGGCCTTCTGCAAAAAATGTATTAGACACAACTTAGGAAAGGCCAAACTCAAAGAACTTGTGAATGCACCAGAAGAAGAAGAGTGGTTATGCTTCGCTTGTAATCCTAAACCTTTATCAAGGCTTGTCAAAACATGCAATCACATTATGAATCTTGTGCAAACACTCAAATCTCAAAAGACAATTTTCAAAACAAAAAAAGGACCTTCTCTCACTGGTACTCCAAACCAGAGTGAGCGAAGAAATAGACTCAGTAGCTTGACTGAAAATTTGGGAATGGGTTCTGATGATGCTTTGTCGCCTAGTGAAACTCTGACAAAAAAGCGTGGCAAAGATGATTCTGATAGTGATAACTCTGCTCTCAAGAAAAGGAAGAAAAAGTCAGGAAGCAAGGAGGGTACTGTTAAGGAAAATGGTTTGTCTAAGGGAGATGTGTTTGTTATCGATGATGACAGTGATTGTGTCGACATTGAAGAAAGTATCAAGGGCTCTTCAAGAAAGACTAATAGCGCTAAGACAAATCAAAGGACTAAAAGGAAATTAGATGTAAGGACAGAATCAGAGGATGAAGAGAGCACGAAAGACAGTAAAACAAAGAAAGTTAGGAAAACAAAGACTGCAAAGGGTTCATCAAATGATTCGGACTCTGTTGTGACTGCAAAATCAAAGAGCAAATCTACGAGTAAAGGAAAACAGAAGAAGATGGACGTTAAGAGTTTGGAAGGTGAAAAAAATGATTCTGATTCCCAGTCAGATTCAGACTTTGTTTCTATGGTGAAACAAAAAGGGAAAAAGTCAAAAAAGGATAGCAAAGTTCAAAAGAGAGGAAAAACAAAGCAGGATGTGTCAGAAGAGGAGGAGGAAGAGGAAGAGAGTGAGAGAGATGAAAAACCAAAGAAAGGTGGTAAAAAGCAGGGAAAAGGAAAGACCAAGAAGCCAGCTGTATCTGATTCAGAGGAAAGTGAAGAGGAAAGTGAAAATGATGCAAAGAAAAAAGGGAAGAGTAAGGATGGAAAAAAGGCTAGCAAGAAGGTGAAGGGAGGAACGTCAAAAAAGCAAGCAATTTCAGATTCAGAAGAAGAGGAAAATGAAGAAGAAGAAGAAGAAGAAGAAAGTGACAGTGATAGACAGAGAAAGAGGTCAAAGAGGTCAGGTGTTTCGCAGAAACGCACCAGAAAACGGCCACGGAAAGAAACTACCTCTGAGGAGGAATCCAGTTCATCGGATGACTCGTCAGATAGTGATGTTCCTCTGACCAGATACAAAAAGAAGCAAGTTGAGAAGCGTAACAAGAGAAAGACAAAGGCATCATCTGGAAGTGATGAGGATGAAGAAGAGGAAGAGATTGGGAGGAGAAAGAAAAGGAAGACAAGACGAAAAGGCAGAAAGAGCAGTTCTGGATCAGAAGAGGATACAAAGACAAGGAAACAGAAGGGTAAAGGGAAAGGAAAGGGTAAGGGTAAGGGAAAATCAAAGAAGAAGCATTACATAGTGAAAGACAGTGATGAATCAGAGGAAGAGGTTGATGATGATGANGGCAGAAAGAGCAGTTCTGGATCAGAAGAGGATACAAAGACAAGGAAACAGAAGGGTAAAGGGAAAGGAAAGGGTAAGGGTAAGGGAAAATCAAAGAAGAAGCATTACATAGTGAAAGACAGTGATGAATCGGAGGAAGAGGTTGATGATGATGAGGAGGAAGTTAGCCCTTCAAAAAGAAAAGGTCGTAAGAAAATCCGTAAGCTCATTGAGGACGAGAAACTAGCAGAGGAGACACAAAAGGCAAGAAGGCTTGAGGAAGAAAGGCGTAAACGCCTTCTGGAACGGACTCGAAATAATGAGGATGACATGCCAGGGGAATCGGCCAAAGTGGCAAGTCTTGTGCTGGAATCTGACCCAAGCACCAAGGAGCCCATTGTTGAAGTAAAGGAGGATCTTCTACAGCACTTGAAACCACATCAGAGTAAAGGGATACAGTTTATGTATGATTGCATCATTGAGTCATTAAAGTCTTGGAAGAAGGAAGACCCAGGTGGGGGATGTATACTGGCACATTGCATGGGTCTCGGGAAAACTTTACAGGTAACAATACTCATTACTACAGCTAGCTAGTGCAAACATTCATTCAAAATACTGCTGTAGTCAGTTTCATTAGAGTTTGCTGCAAGGTTTACATTTTGGACTCATTTATTTATCATTTAAGTCCAAGATTCAATACGGAATATAAAGGACTGCCTTAAAAACAAGTAACTGTTGTCAGTCTTCATTATTTTGTATGTTTGTTAATAATAATAATAATAATAATAATAATAATAATAATAATGATAATAAAAACATGCAGTTTCAACCAACAAAGCAGAATGACCTTTTTCATTAAGCATAAACAAAGGAAATAGTTAATAACTTTTGTCCTTGCAAGTTAAGGCTCAAAGACCTGAGTGTAGCAAGCTTTGCAAATTTTTTGGTATTGGTTCTGGGTGTGTATTGTACTGTTCACACAATTAAGTACAAAGTATGTTGGTTTTCATGGCCTGGTGGCAAGGCTACACTTTGTTGCCATTCTTGCTTTTGATGATTTGTATTAATTCTGTTATCTTTTGTTCCCAAGGTTGTGGCCCTTGTTCATACCCTCATGACTCATGAAGACATCAAAATGCAACGTGTTTTAGTAGTGGCTCCATTAAACACTGTCCTGAACTGGCAGGTTGAATTTGATAAATGGCTACGTGTAGATGACAGACTTGAGGTAAAATGTTAGTTAGGCATACTTAATGGGTGTCGAGCTATAATGCTGCCGTTTATTCAACTTACAGTTGTCGCTCTATCCAAATCTACATGCTTACATATCTAATGAAAAGGCATATTCCCTTGAGGACATCATGTGGCAAAATGTCTGTTGATAATCAATGTGCATCAAAAATGTCCAAAATCGTGGCTTTATTTTAGTGGCCAAAAACATGGGTTAAATACTTAGCATAACCATAATCCAGAAAGTTCTAGGTAATAGTTTTCCTGCCATAAATTTTGACCAAAGCAAACTTTTTATTCCGGCGGTCCAAACAGTGAAATACAACCTGCTTAATTGACCAATCAAAGCTTGCATACTAACTGAAAGAGTATAGCAAAGAAAAATACACCCCCATTTCCAGTCGTTGACCCAACTGGAAGTCCCATAAATCTACATCCAATTCACAGCAGAGGGGGTCCAAAGGTATACCCTACATCAGAACATGTTTAATGCTTCACATAAACATAAGGTTTTCATGTCATAAGTTTATATTTGAAATCTCCTTCTTTTTAGGTTCTCATTTTGCAGGATGTGGGTGGCAACAATTGGCGCAGAGCTGACTTGCTGAAACACTGGTCTAGGTATGGTGGGGTGATGATTGTGGGGTACTCAATGTACCGTAATCTCTCACAATGCTATCGAGTCAGGAGCAAACATCAGAAGAAAATTTTCCAAGAAGCTCTAGTTGACCCTGGTGAGAAAAGTTCAATAATTATTTATTTTCCTTTGTTTAGTAGACTTGAAGATTTATTGCAACATTTTTTGCATTACACTTTAGGTAGCTCAAATTGGTCATATTTTACCATATGTACACCTTATATTAGTGGAGTAAGGTTTTTGTTTAAGAAAACATTACCACCATGATAGAGACCATTAAGCTAATGGCACAGGTTTTTCGAAAGATGTTCAACTTTACCCCAGGATTAAGCAAAAGTGTAAACAAAATTTTTTTTTTAGGGTTGTGTAAGATGACCCAGTAAAACGTGTTAAACCTTAATACGAAGGCCTAGATATTTTCACCCAAAATGACAGTCCAAAATAGTCTAAAAGTGAAATAAATCAGGTTTATGTTGTCAAAACCGTCATTCAAGATAAAAATTTTAAGAATTTAGCTTGTTGCCGGGCCTCAGTCAGTGGTGCTTGGGGTTTTGGCTGTGGCTGCTGAGTGTGATCACTGCTTGGGGGTGGTAGCTTGCGTAGCAAGCATTTCCGTGCAGTTTAGGAGCAAAGAAAGAGGAACAAGAGTCAAAGACCCCGTGAAAAATAGCGCAAGTAAACGGGGGTAGTGAATGAAGATATGGGGCCGGTTATTTAAACAGAGTTAAGTGTTTAACAAAACCTTGTGCTACACTGTAAGACATTTTCATCTTGGCCAACTCTTTTATTTTAACACTGTTAATCATGAACAGTTTGATAAAAGCATACAACATAGACTAGAAAGGTACTTATCCACTTAAAATAACCCACAAGGGAAGAGATCTGGTGGTCTGAAGATTTATTAAACCATGGTCTTAGTTAGACTTTATTCAAATAGCTGAACCATAGTGTTGGAGGGTTCTGAACACCCCTTAAAGGCTGTATTGGTTCTCTTTCTGGTGAAGGGCATTCGTTTTGGATCAACTGCTGAATTATTTGAGCATTTTTTGAAGGTCCTGATTTGGTGATTTGTGATGAGGGTCACATCCTACGTAACGATGGAAGTGCAATCTCCAAGGCACTGAATGGCATCAAGACTAAAAGACGCATTGTGCTCACCGGAACGCCTCTACAGAACAATCTCATTGAATGTATGTTTAATTTTTTTCGTTTTGCTTGAATACCTCACCACTTTGCTAACACATAGTAAGCGTTGATGGACGTTATTTGTTGACTACATTTAGAAGGTGTTCGACATGAGGAATGGTTACCTGGGAAAAGAATTCAGTTGTTTTTCAGTAGTTTCTAAGCCGCCCACGTTCAGCATTTTTGCTAGCCCAAGATAGTGTTATCAAGCCTAGTTTTGTACTTGACAAGACCCCCATAGTGGGGGTTCATTGGGCTGCTGACTGTGTGATGCGGTGGTTTTATTATTTTGGAAAGTATAGATTAAAAATACACTTTTTTCCGGCTTGAGTGAATAGCTACTCCTAACCTGTGGAATGGGATAGGGAATAGGACATGCAAAGCCATCTGGGAGTGCCCTCCGCCATTTTGTCTTTTTTTGACATAAAAAGAGTATTGCTTCTCTTTTCTTGATTGGACATTGCCCTCACAGGCAGTCCAATAATCAAACCAAGGAAGCACGATTTGTACACAACCTGATAGGGAACACTATCTTAGTATTACTTTTTTATGGATTGGAAATAACTACTGGACGTCCTCAAAAACCATTTACATAAAAAAAACCCCATCATTATTGTACCTTGTAAAGAATAGGACCATTTTTCACACTGAGAAAATATCAAAAATATTTTTTGTTCAAAATCGTCCAATTTTTTCTCAGACCACTGCATGGTGAGTTTTGTCAAGCCCAATCTTCTTGGGACGCGGAAAGAGTTCACTAACACCTTTGTAAACCCTATTGAAAATGGTCAGTGTGCGGACAGCACTGCTCTGGACGTTCAGCTTATGAAACAGCGATGTCATGTGCTCCACAAGATGTTGGAAGGATGTGTACAGGTTAGTATTAGGATTACCTAAACGCTTTATTCGATAGATCAAAGTACGGTTAAATATCCTGAGTTGCTCATGTATAATGAATTTTGAGACTTTCTATCTGTCATCATGCTGGTAACTTTGAAAAAGTGCTGCCTTTAACTTGACGCTCCTCTCAAATAGGTATAGCATCTTCAAATAATGACATGTACAACGCTAAAATAGATTGTTCACAGTCCCCTGTTATTTTCTAAGATAGTAGAGATCGAGCATTTAAGATTTTGCGTTTTGCAGGGGGGTGGGGGGGTGGCATCTTGGTTTTAAAGGGGCTATGTCATGCTATTTGCCTTCTTTTTAAAACACTAAAACTTTGCTTCGCGTCAATTGAAATCCAAAAATAATGGTTCAGCTTCATTATTGAAGACTGCATTTAGGCATTGAAACTCTTTCTTGTCGTCTGTTGCGATGGATAGCAAGGATGGACATGAATTCATCTTTTTCAAGTTTTAAAATTATGCCTTCAAGAATCACCTTAAAAACGATTATGGTTGGTGCTCCCTGGTTAAATTTGTTTCATGTCTTCTTCATAACTCAACAGGAGTATTTTGTGTATGGATGAAGACACTAAGTAACGACTCCTGGACAGAGTTGTCCTAAACAGCATTATCTTTATGATATGGCGCCCTTAAATGTACCGAGGGGCGCAGACCCTTTGGGTTTTAGCTGTGGGAAAAGGGAGGCTATTTCTCTTGCCTCTTTCCAAANTATATGATAAATTGTGTTTATTTATACTCACCCACTAAATAAAAAATCATATAAACATCAAAAAAAATATATAGAAAAAAAGAAATTTGTTTTGTCCGTCTTTCTTTTTTTTTTTAGAAAGAGGGGAGAGGTGGGTGTTTTGTTTTTTGGGGGGGGGGGGGGGGGGGGGGGGGGGTGGCATCTTGGTTTTAAAGGGGCTATGTCATGCTATTTGCCTTCTTTTTAAAACACTAAAACTTTGCTTCGCGTCAATTGAAATCCAAAAATAATGGTTCAGCTTCATTATTGAAGACTGCATTTAGGCATTGAAACTCTTTCTTGTCGTCTGTTGCGATGGATAGCAAGGATGGACATGAATTCATCTTTTTCAAGTTTTAAAATTATGCCTTCAAGAATCACCTTAAAAACGATTATGGTTGGTGCTCCCTGGTTAAATTTGTTTCATGTCTTCTTCATAACTCAACAGGAGTATTTTGTGTATGGATGAAGACACTAAGTAACGACTCCTGGACAGAGTTGTCCTAAACAGCATTATCTTTATGATATGGCGCCCTTAAATGTACCGAGGGGCGCAGACCCTTTGGGTTTTAGCTGTGGGAAAAGGGAGGCTATTTCTCTTGCCTCTTTCCAAACTGGTCCCCGCCCCCAAAGCAGATTTGATACTCATCCCCAGGTTAGACTCGGTACATTTAAAACCAAGATGGCCGCTCGTAAGGGTAGGTGCTCGATCCCGACGATTTTACGGAAAATAGGGGGAGTGAGAAGATTCTAGCTGAAAAAAGCCTAGTGTATAAAATTAATAGACCTTTTTACCGATATGCGGCCATATTGAATTAATTCGATTTAAGGAGTATTATAGGATGCCCAGGGGGCATGAGCACATTTTTTTTGTATTTTCGAGCGCTTTTCGGGACATTTTTTCTTAAAGTTTTCTTAGAATAAGATTGTAATGGGAAAAAAGATCCTTGTACCTTGTTTTGATGTAATAATGATCGCCTTTTTCTAGTTTAGTATTAGAAATATGGTCTTTCATTGTATATTTCTCGGGAAAAACGCGATCATTATTACATCAAAACACGGCACAAGGATCTTTTTTTCCCATTACAATCTTATTCTAAGAAAACTTTAAGATAAAATGTCCGGAAAAGCGCTCGAAAATACAGACAAAATGTGCTCATCCCCCCTGGGCATCCTATAATACTCTTTAAATCGAATTAATTCAATATGGCCGCCGTATCCGTAAAAAGGTCCATCGCAAGTTGACAAACTATCGTACCATAACAGTGGGTTCGGTGGAATGGGGCATGGATATTCTCGCATCCCATCTTTTACACAAGAAGATGCTCATTTTGTCAGGAGAGGTGTTCAAAATTGGGTGCAGGGTGAAAATCACCCCCCCTTTCTCAGTGTTTTTGGCCAGCTACTCTGCTTAGCTCTTCTTCTCATCGTTAAGTGAAAGATTCCTGAATCAGCCACCTACGTTGATAGATGATAGGCCATTTCCGAGTTCCAAAACCCTCGCTTTCAAAACGAGGCTAAGTACAAAATCTTTCTTGTGAAAATGACTTTCATTTGCGTGAGAATAAAAAATGATTTTCATATTAATGGTTTGCACTTAGCCTCGCTTTGAAAACGCGGCCTTGGGCAGTGATTTTTTTACAAATAGTTGTGGAGAGTCCTGGGACTCATTTTGTGAACCATCCTGAGTCCCAGTCCATAACCAATGAGTCCCAGTTAAAAAAAACAAGGGGCCCGTTTCTCGAAAGTCCCAGTAACTTTTCGGGCCCGAAATCAAATATTCAAGTAGAAATAAAAGGAGTAAGAGCGCGGGTCCTGGCTAAAAAAACTACTCCATTTTGTTTCATTAACTGATAGTTTTATCATGTTAGATGCAAAACTACTGAAACCCCGGTCTTTAATGTAAACGGCAACAGCTTACCGGGCCCGTTAATTATCGGGACTTTCGAGAAACGGACCCAAGGAGTCCTAAATTGAAAATGTTTGGGCCTTTATGTAACCTGACAGTTAATCTGGAGACAGACACCAAAACTCTTTATTATAGTTTAGTAAAATTAAAATATGGCCCTTCTATATATTTAAAGCACAAAAAAAAACTAAAATAAATATGCTTCCTTAAACAACAGCCACAGAAATCACACGAACAGGATACTCTACCAAAAAATCTTCAAATTGATCGGTCGTTTTTTGCGTCCAACGGGACGTATGCCGTGAATTATTTTACGTCTTTGGGGATTTTTATGCGTCAGGGACGCTGCCTTGGGGCAACTCGGGAATGGCCTATTAATCCGCCCTTTTCAAAACTTTTGATCAATGTAGGTTTCTGGGAAACTGCCCACCTTCCCCTCCCCTATGCTAACATTAACACTTACTTCTCACTTAGGGCAAAATGATGGCTTAGGGGAGCCCATCCACCCGTCAAAGGGTCCTTGCATTTAACTAGGGTTGAAAGAAGGTTGGGACAATACGAAAACTTTTGTTTACACGAAATTGAATCATAAAGTATCAGAACAACCAATTGGACACGTCTATCTAGCCATGGTCCATTCCATTATTTTGCTATTTATTTATTCTTGTCAGAGGAGAGATTACTCTGTGTTAGTTCCCTTTCTTCCTCGTAAACATGAGTACGTGATCAAAGTTCGGGTGTCTGCGTTGCAAGAGAAGTTGTACCGACATTTTCTCAACACTTTTATCTTCCAAGAAGGAGACTTCAGCAAGAAAGGTAGGAATGATTTTTCGTAAGCCTTAAGTCGAGCTGTGTCACGAAATTTAGCCAAATTTAGCCACTAAGACCTGACCATCTAAATGACCAAATGATAATTGTGTAAATAACTGCTTCAAAATTGAAGCAGCATGGCTGAGCGGTTATTGTTAGAGCGCGCTGGAATTGTAATCTAGTGGTCCCGAGTTCATTCCCCGTCCTGAGCGATTGTGGCATTGTTGTTCTCTGTATTCCTAATTTCAACTCCTCGTTCACGCTTGTAAATAGCCAACTGGAATTACCTTCGACCCGTTGGGATTCTTAACCTGGTGGTCCACAATAAAACCTACTGGTCAGTTATTTAAACTGAGTTTAACCCGTGTTTAACCCGTGTTTAACAAAACCGCGTTCTAAGCCCTTTTCAATTTGCCCAACGCTTTTATCTACGATTTATCGCGAAGGTTCTCAATAAAGTATATAGCGTAGACTGGCAAAGCACTTATTTTCTTAGATTAACCCACTGAGAAAGATATCTGGAGGTCCAATGATTTCTTAAACCGCAGCCTAAGTTAGACTTCGTTTAAATAAGCGACCCTACGAGTCTTAAGTTACCAATATCACTTTTTTTTCTTTATTTTTGAAAGGTTTACATAACACGGTAAACACAGGGCAAGAATAGCCAAAATTTAGGGAGCCTAAGATGAATCAAAGTTGGGGATTTTTGAAACTGTTCGTCCTAACAGCTTTTCAATCAAAGTTCATCACTATTGTTTGTGATTTTGCATTTAATGGTCGGGTACATACTTGTTCGTCGTGAAGCCATCAGAATGGTTAATCTCTAGTTTGTAGATAATTTACTTTCTTGAAACAAAAATTCTTCTGAACACAAATTAAGTAAGGAACATGGCAAGTGGTAAGCTTTCCTTGTATGATGTGTAAAACGCTAATGATTCGTCCCTTGGTTGTTTGTTTGTTTTTAAAAGCATTTAAACCCGTTTTACTCAGTATCCTGCTTTCTAGTACGAGTTGATGCATTTTTAGTATACAAGGGAAGCGTACCGTTTTTGATCAGTAGAAAATACTATAGTCATTTTGTGAATCGATACTTGATGCTATTTTTTCAATCATAATAATTATTATAACAATATTCTCAAATCTGATTGGCTTGGCAACAGAACTTCGAGTCGTCCAATTGGACCTGCAATCATACTCGTGATTAAACGGACGGGTTTAATCACTCGTATGATTGCAGACCGAATTGGACTCATCTCAGTCCTTTGCCGTTATTGATTACCTTATGGAAAATTGTTTTACAGCGGGAGTATCTCTGTTCTCGGATTACCAAGCTCTGATGCGGATCTGGACTCACCCCTGGTGTCTCAAGCTTGAAGCGCTGCGGCGACCGGAGACATTCGCTGACACCGATAGCATGGATGACTTTGTAGTGCACAGTGACGAAGAGGAAGAAGAAGAAGAACAGTCAGAGAGTGAGCAATCCACTACCTCGGTGGAAGAAGTTTTGTCTTCATCAGGCAGCGAAAATGACGGAGGAAGGAAGACGCGTGGAGGTAGAAGAGGAAAGAAGGTATCGAGCGAGGAGGATAACGAAGATGATGATGATGAGAGTGAGGAGGAAGTTCTTCCGCAGTCGTCGCGGAGTAGAGCTGCAGCCATCGTGAGAAGCGCCAAGTCATCGAGTAAGGCCAGTCCAGCTACTGTGAATATTGATGGCGAGGACGTCACTGTTGTGTCAGTTAATGACGGTGCCAGTACGTCTCGAGGAAATCGCCGTGACAAACAAGCTCATTCAAGTAAGAGTGACATCAAAGAGGACGAGGAAACCAAGAGCAATGGAAGGCTGTCGAGAAACAGTTCAAACAACAGTGATCTTGACGCGGTTGGTAGCACACGATCCGGTACAAATTTCAAAGATTTTGAAGTCGAGAAAGAGTGGTATGACGAGTTTCTCACGGAAGCAGATGAGTTCAACGTAGAACTGAGTGGCAAGATGGTGCTTCTGATGGAGATACTAGCAGATGCAGAAGCTGTGGGCGACAAAGTGTTGGTGTTTAGCCACAGTCTTGTGACGCTAGATCTGATCGAGAGAGTGCTGGGTGGTGGAGACATAGGTGGTGACAGGGAGAATTGGTGCCGTGGCTGTGACTATTTTCGTATGGATGGTTCTACCAGTGCGACTATGAGGCAACGTTGGGCAGACATTTTCAACGATGAAGACAACAAAACGTAAGTGTTAGGTTACGTTCACATGGCACGGGACGAATTGCCGACTGGATGAAAAATTTGTATCAAGTTAGGTTTTGTGGGAAACTGCCCACCTACCCCTCCCTTAGGCCAACATTAGGGGCCTTAAGATCCGACGACGGCGACGGCAACAAGGACGTCAAAAAAGCAATAGGTTTAATAACCAAAACAACAATTTTGCACGTGCATCATGCTTTTTTGTACATTTCTTTGCCGTCACAGCACGACTACGACGTGAAAATGCCTAATTTCACGCTTTACAGAGGAAGTACCCAAGCGACGACGAAATTTCCCCTTTATTTCTGAACTTGAATATGGCTCTTAGGAATTCAATTTTAGGAGGGTTCACCTACATTTGACAAAGTTAGTGACTTGGAGTAATCGCTATGAAGATTGAAAGAACGCGAATTCACTTTTTCAGCGACGTTTTCGCTTCCGTCGCCGTCGTCGGATCTTAAGGTCCCTATTTTAAACACTTACTGTTCACTTGGGGCAAAATGATGGCCTAGGGGACGGGTAGGCGGCCAGTTTCCCAGAAACCTAAATTGATCCCAAAATTTGACCGGAGACTTCATTCACATGGAACCGTTCAACGTGTTGGTTATGTTCACACGGAACTGACGAGGCAGTTGGAATTTTTACTTTTTTTTTTTTACCATGATCTGCCCATGCGCAGAGCGCTACTTCGTGGGAAAGTTAAGACGGTTAATGGTGTTCAAAACGCGCCGGTCAAGTTTTCGACCGTACAGGCGAAGAAAAATTTGACCTCGATTTTGGCGTGCGAATATCGTAAACGGTCAGGCGTCTAAATGTGGTTCCGTGTGAACGCACGAATTTCCAACCGGTGCCGTGTGAATGTAGCTTTAATACAAAACAGGGGCACCCAACGACGGTTTCCTCCTAAAAAACATTGGAAACTATTTTTAGGCTATCCAGAGTACTTTTAGATCTCTAGAAATGCATTCGAAGCGGCGCTATAAAATTTGTATCTGTTCGGTCATCCTTCGTTAGGTGCCCCTGATAAAAGGACAAGTGCGGATAGACCTTTCACCCGTTTCCGTAAGTAAAGGCGCCAACTGGAGGCTTAGGGTGACAAAATACAGTGATTGGTATGAATTCGTCACCTCAATCCTTTACCTCAGTTCCTTGTGTTTACTCACCGGAGCAGAATGCGAGGAAATTTTCTGATTGTTGGTGCCGACATTTTGAAAAGTAAACATGGTGACCGTGGACAGCTTTCTGTCAAGCACAGCTCAGCGTATGATTCACAAGAAGGGAAAGAAAAATGTGACGGACGGATTATGAGGTCTCCAACAGATTGTCGATTTACATTGCACTGTTTTGAAGTGTCAGCGAAAAGAATTTCGTTCAAATACTACTTCTCCTTTTCGATGCATTGGTAAATAAGCATGAATTGAGTACTCGCACGAAACAAATTGCCTCACCTTCAGCTAGTGCAACCTGGGTTAGAAGCCCGGCGAAGACGCCTTATATGGGTTGAGTTTGTTGTTGATTCTCGCTCTAAGAGAGATCTTCCTCCAATTCCAATTCCATCTGGCACGCAAACATTACATTACGTCACGTTACGTTACGTTATATACAACAGCGAGTGTTAAGTGTATGCTTTAGATTGTTTGTGTTGTCCTTTCTTTCAGTGCTCGATTGTTTCTCATCTCAACCAAGGCTGGTGGACTGGGAATCAACCTCGTGGCTGCCAATCGAGTCATTGTGTTTGACGTTTCGTGGAACCCCTCCCATGATGTTCAGTCTATCTTCAGAGTGTACCGCTTTGGACAGACTAAAGCTGTGTATGTATACAGATTTATAGCACAGGTGAGCAAGGCCGGATTATATTGCATAATATGGAGACTAGTGCGGGTTACTTCCTCTTAGGGGATAGGGTCGAATCTCGCTTAGAGAACTTTTTCCTCCATTATCTCACTGGGAAAGTGATTAATTATGACAATAACGATTGATCACTGGGAAAGTGATTAATTATGACAATACTGATTGATGTGTTTTGTGTTAATGTTCTTTTTTTGTGATTAATTATGACAGCACTGATTGATGCGTTTGTGTTAATGTTAACAGGGGACCATGGAAGAGAAAATCTACGATAGACAGGTTTGTAATGCGAACTAGAGTAATTATTTGAACTCTTCGTAAATGCATACAGTACCACGAGATCCGTTTGGTGAGATAAGTCAATCATCTTTGTTTATTTCGATCATTGGTATTTTGCAGGTGACAAAACTGTCTATGGCCGGACGAGTAGTCGATGAACAGCAGATTGAGCGTCATTTCACCGCAGCTGATCTTCGTGAACTGTACACTTTTACTCCCGATTTGCTTGACGAGGGCAAAGCATCGGAATCCGAGGACAAAAAAGCAGAAGCCGAGGACAAAATATCGGCAGCCGAGGACAAAGAATCGGAAGCCAAGAAAAAAGCAGCAGCTGGGAATGAAACTGAAACCGCAAAGGAACCAGATAACGGGGCAGGAACAGGAGCTGGGAAGGAAACAGAATCTAAGGATGAACAACAAGCTGAAAATGGAGCAAATGCAGAGAAAGATACAGAAACTGAGAAAACAAGTGAAACCAGTAACCAGGCCGAAGGTGGAGTAGGAACTGACAGTGGAACTGGAAAGGAAACAGAGGCCACAAAAGAGAAAACTGAACGACCAACTTTGCCTCTTCCTAAGGTATGTGTTACTCCCCTCCAGAACGAACTTCTAGCAAAAGAAAAATGGCTGAAAAAAACAAGGCTGCATGTCTTTAGCCCGTGGTTGAGATCAATTTGTTTTTTGCCCTCGAATAAAAAGTATTTAAGGACACTTTGAGTCTGTTATAACCGAGATGTTAGTATAATATTGAGCTGTGTTCTATTAAGACTATGTAGCCTCCATTTTAAAAATATTTTTCTGAAACCCGCGGATGCGTGAAAAGAAGTCTTTTTAAAGCTCTACCCGGCTAGATTAACCTCAGCTCTTTTAGGGTAGAGCTGTACGCATGTAACTTCCTTCCTCCCTTTTCGTTAAAACAGTAAAATTGTAATTAATATGACAGTACCATTTGTGAACGAGGATGGCAAATCGCGGTACCCGTCTGTGCAGGATCGCCGAGTATGGCGGGCCACTCCCCATTCAGGAAAGTTGCCACTCCCGGATAGAGTGACAGGACGACGCAAGAAAACACACCAAAGGACGATCTAGGGTCCCCCATCGTCGTAAATGACGGGGACCATTACTAATTGACTAAGGCCTAGTTTAAACGTCGAACTTTGCATCCACCTCATTCCCAGGGTTGGAAACCTGGGAACGAGGTTGACATTTCATGGGCCGAACCTAATCCCATCAATTAAGTACATGAAAAGACCGACATGTTTAATTTGGGTTTACCCATGAATTAAGTTCGAGTGGCCCACATAGGAATTTTGACCATGGAGCGACTTCGTTTCAAACGTTGAACGTTTCTTGTGCCGCCGCAATCTAATGCATAAATTACTATAATTTATTTTTACTGGTAAGCATTGTGGATCATTGTACATCGTAAAAATGAATTGAGTCGGACTTCCGAATCAGCTGTCGAACTTATATCATTTGGGTCGACCTAAACAGAAATTAAGTTCTGTACATGAAAACTTCGACGTCTGAACGGGTTCTAACTAACAATTCTTGTCATAGGATGCTATATTGGCGGACCTGATCAACCGCCTTCACCCCAAATGGATAGTGAACTANGCATTGTGGATCATTGTACATCGTAAAAATGAATTGAGTCGGACTTCCGAATCAGCTGTCGAACTTATATCATTTGGGTCGACCTAAACAGAAATTAAGTTCTGTACATGAAAACTTCGACGTCTGAACGGGTTCTAACTAACAATTCTTGTCATAGGATGCTATATTGGCGGACCTGATCAACCGCCTTCACCCCAAATGGATAGTGAACTATCATGAGCACGACTCCCTGCTACAGAATATCGAGTCTGAAGAGTTGACTGAAGAGGAAATGAAAGCGGCTTGGGAAGCGTACGAGGCAGAAAAATCTGGACAAACCGGTTAGTTCAGTAATGTTACTCAGTTCGGATGTAATTCATGACTAGTATGACTCTCTCTGGTATTAGTCTCTTACCTGATGTCAGCACTTTTTTTTGCAAGGTTTTAAAGCTGTGTTAGAGTTGATGTGCTTGCCTTATTAGTGTTTTGACAACGTTTGTGAAATGACCATATTTTTAGGGAAACCAGCAGTGAAACTGCACAAGAATTTTGTTCCCTTCAAGTATATTTTGCGAGTAAACAAGAAAAACATTTTGGGTGAATGTTTTCGTTCTTTAAGCCAAGTACTTGGAACTGTTTATACCCTGAATGAATAAACTTGTATCGAAACGACTGGTGATGGTGATGATGATAGTGACTACAAAGCGAAAACGTCTCTTAGAAAGTGAATGCTACGACAGCAAAGGTTTTTTTTGCCGTTCTCGTCGTCGTCGTCGTTGCTTAAGCTCCCAAATTATTTATTGTTGTTGTTGTTGATGATGTTTTAATTTTCTGATGTGAAGCACCGCAAGTCGCTCAAAATGATGGCACCAGAACACTCTGAACTAAATGTAAAATGTTTTGCTTGGGAAGGGAAATGCGTTCTGTTTCAGTGCGTTCAAATATTGGGGAGCTTCGACAATTAACAGTTCGAAAAATCGCCCTTGCTCAGTTTTCCATACCAAGTTTTGAAATCTTTTCATTTTTTGTCAGTTCCCGCTCGCATGACAGACCAACTGCAGGACCACGCCCAAACTCAACAACAAGTTATGGCACGGGTGCAGTTGAACACGGAGATGCTCCAGCAAATACAGCAGATTCGACAGCTCCAGCGTATGCAACAGGTACAGGAAATTGAAGACCACATTCGACAGGTCAGGCAACAGAGACAACTGTGCCAACAACGCGACGCTTTGCTGCAGCAACACCATCAACGTCAACAGGAGGAGCTTCGCCGACAAAACCAGCTGCGATTCATACAACATATGACCCAGTCGCAGCCTGACCAGCGTTTTCAGCTGGGGCAGAACACCATCAATGTACAGACGCAGCTTCCGTCAGGCGCCGCTGCCGCGAATCCCACTCCGCCCCAGCCCCTCTTGCGCTTTCACGTTCCCGCCAATATACGCCTGCCTGATGGAGTTGTCCGTCCAGGGCACCCACCCACCATAAACGCGCGACTTGGACCACGGCTAAGTGCCATCGTTGGAGCATTGCCTAACACCGATGCACAGCTTACTCTGCCACCGCAGAGTGCGATTCAGAAATAACAGCATGGTGCCGTAGTAGCATGCCCCTCGTACGCATGCGTTAAAAAGGCCAGCGGGAGAGAAACAACCGAAATCACTGCCAAGTGTTCAGTTGCTGCGAGGGTGTTGTCTTTCGTCATACTTTCCTTTACGCTATATCGTAAACCATATCGTGGAAGCTCCAACGCTTGCCGTCGTTTATCTTGTGTATAGCTTTGAATTTAGTTAGTTGTCAAAGCGCTAGAAATAGTACAGACTTTACATTTGTGGATCATTATATTGACTGTATTGAACCGTTGCTAAACAAACTACTAACTACTGAGTTGTGTTTTAGGTTCCTGTATTTTCACAAGTATTAATTAAGTTTTGTTCTTGTTTCTATTTGTTTTCGTTGCTCATCCCGAAGAACCTGAAAAGTTAATCCAACTTCTTTACGGGGATTTATTAGGCGATTGATTGAATTTTTTATGACAGTAGGAGAAAAAATCAACATCTTTTTAAAGTAGATGCTGATTTAACTGTATAGTCAAGATCAGCTCCTAGCCTCGCGGAAGCCTGCCTGTGTAAAGTGCACGGACACAGTAAAGATCTGAATACGAAAAGTCCGCTACCTTAGTTTGTAGCCAGTTTCCAGGTTGCTTATCCGAGAGAGTGTATCAGGTGATATTCGTACCCTCTGTGTAAAATCTGGGTTTCACTGCGCGTTTCTCCCCCGAGTTTGCACCAGCGAAGTTTAGATTTTCAGACTGAAAGAAAGCTATACTATTCGATACATGAATCGCGCGGAATTCAACCGTGGCTCTACTTGATTTTTTTTGTTCCCGGATCGATCCCATCTACTGCAGACTGGCCAACTTCTGTTCTTTTCTTGATTGATACCAAAGACGAAGCATATAAGTACTACCGGTAGTTCCTAAACGCAGCAAGGCTATTTTCCAGTCCATTTCTTTCCTTTGTCTTATTTGATTTTGCTGTTGAAAAAGAGTTTGATTCGTAGCGACAACTATATCTCGTGAGTTACCGAGTAAGCAGTTGTCGCTCCTCCTTAAATTATGGAATTTACTTCTTATTCTTCTTATCTAAAATGACCAGGTTACCTCACCTTTTTGTACATTAAGTAATAAAAATAACCACAAGTAGAGGAATATTGAGTGAACATTTGCTAATTTTCTATTTTTGAATCCCCCATAATCAACTTTATTTGCCCTCCAAATATTTCAAGGACTGCATATTCTCAAGAGCATTTAAAATAGTAAATGGTGCAAAATTTGGGGGAGCAATCAAAGTGAATCAGTATGGGGGGAATTGAAAATAGTTAATTCGTGGGATTTTAAAGATGAGTTTATAATGTGTAAAGATTTATATCCCGATGTAATTAAGCTATTATCATTAAACCTTGCATTTTACTAGTTGCTTAATGACGATATATACACTCTTTGCTGTGAATAAATCGTACCAAGCTCTGATTAATCGTTGTGAGTTTGTTGTATCTCCTGTCGGTTTTCCTCTGAAACGGAATAAGTAATTTCTACATAGAACATTGGAACTTCGCTTAGGGTGTTAAACCCTTAAGACCATAATATACCAGTGCGTATATGCTCCACACTTCTCTATAGCCACTCGTCTAGTGTGTGATATCTTGTAACTGGCAAAAAGTACTGAACTAGACCGAGAAGTGTAATGTATTTTGATTGTTTTCTTTGGTGTGTTTTTTAGAAGAAAAAGAAAAGTAGGACAAGGTTGGTTATAGTTGTCATGAGGTGCTTAACAACAACTTATTTTATGAAGTTCACCATGATCAGCCTCTCTGGCCCCGTTCACACGTAAAGGGATTTAGAAACGGGGTATTTTTCTCCGCACTTAGCGTATTCGAATTGTTTTCACCTGTCCACACGAAAACGCTAAAACGGTAGAAATACGGAAGCATCCCTTACAGAGCATGCGTAATGCAGTAGTTTATGACCTATGTCGTCGTATTCGAGAACCTTCCTTTTCGTCCATCCACACCTTGACGAGAACCCACGTTTTAAAACAAGCTCCAATCTCGGGGCGGCATTTTCGGAAACCTACGTTTTTTGTGCTCGAAATCGCCTTTCACGTGCGGACAGAAGGCTATAAAACGTGGAAAAATTATCCGGATACGTAGTGAGGACGGGGCCTTAGAAATAGGGGCCATAGATTATCCTTCATCTTTTTTCTTACAGAAAAACTGTTTTGAGACTTTCATAACTGCCGCTCGAAGGTCTCTCAGACGCCAACAATATAATAATGGATTTATAGACGAATTGAAAAACGCCACTGTCTCAGCCATATGCCATGCTTCTGTCCAATCCTTATACGAAATGCTCGAAAGACCTATTGATATGAGAATAGGAATGTAGCATAGGATCATGACAATGTAAAAAATAAATGTGTTTATAGCACTTCTTTTATTTCGCAGCAAATTTGTTGTCTGCCCCTCACTAATACCTTGCGACGCGGCCATTTCTTGAGCTCGGATCTGAATCAGATGCTGCCGAACAATCAGGTAAATTTTCACGTACGAGAATGTTGAAAGCGTAAGACAAGCAAAGAGGCATACCGCCATTATTCCAAAATATGTAGGCCAGTGCCACAGATACAGGCCTAAAGAAGAAACGTTGACGATCCATATGACTGTTATCGATGCATATGTTACCCGGGGTCTTGTTATAATGGCTGACTGATATCGCATGGGGTATTGGACAGCCATAAATCGATCAACGCTTATGGCTGTCATTGTGCAGAGAGAAATCCCGCAAAGAATGAACTCAATCATTTCGGACAGCTTTTCGAGAAGTGTATTCTTCGTGAGTTCACTTGCAACGAAAAATGGCTGGGAAATTAATCCAACAAGAAGATCCGAAACAGCCAAACTAAGTAGCATCACCATTGAAGATGATCGAAAGCGTGGCGTTTTTATCATGGCGGCCACTACCAATGTGTTACCACTGATAGAAATCAGGATAAGTGGAGCGTTCAGAGCGCAGTTTATTATGACGAGAGTTCTTTGCGTAGCACATTTCTTACCGTCAATAAAACCCTCTGTCGAGTTTATATTGCATTCAGCTGTTGAGTTCATTTTCACTAAAATGTTGCTTTGCACAAAAGCCAAGAACTGATTACAATCCGAAGATAACAGTCATCACAAAAAGCCGAGTCGTATTTTGTACCGTTTCAGTAGAGAACAATTTACTTTTGTGCAAACTCACCTCGCCTCACTAACATTAACTCGATGGTGGAAATTTTTTTTGTAGTCCATAATTTTCAACGCCACCAGTCGTAGTTAAAGGCCTCTTTTGCTTTCATAACTTCTCAAAACAAAACATACACCTTTTATAATTTGACAGCTTACTTGTCAAGGCCAAATTGATTCAACTGAGTAAACGGTGCAATTAAACGAGACCGTCTTTTAAAACAAAGCTACCAATTTTTTCTTTGCTAGAATAATTTTTTTCTTTTTCCTTCAGCATTCAGAGACCTCTGCTAACAGGGAAAAATTTCGATTCCTTCTCAGTTTAAACTTACATTTAAACTTATAACATCCCCCGAACCAAAAAGCTAATATTTCCTTTTCAATTAAAATTTTTATTAAACTTATAAGATCTCCTGTGTCACAATACTTGATTTCCGCGCTTTTTGCATCATTTTTGAAGGTTAATTACCATCCGTATAGGGGTCCTCGAGAGCTTTTTATTAAATTTCCTTAAGAGAAACTGACACATGATTTTGATAGCAAGTAAAATCTCTCACGCAGACATTCTCTCTGGAACTTTGTCCCTAGAGGAGTAATCGGCTGAATTAGTTCTAGCACATCAAAAATCCTTTTTGCTTCAGTTTTATTTGTATACCATGGCACTGATATTAAATGCTGTTGTTCTTAATTACGGTATGCGTCAATAAGTTTTCTTTGAGCACAGTACATATATAAAGGGATAAAAGCAGGCCATAAATTTGCAGTGTATTTGTAAATATAATTAATTGTCAACGCCATTAAGCACGCATTTCGGACCTAATTTTTTTATCTTGACGTCCGCCTGAAATTACTTGTCAGCAGTTTCCCGCAGGGGAAGTTAGAAATTCAAAATGGCGTCGGAACAAGGCTTTGTTCCAACGAGCGTAAATGTGGAGATTGAAGGGGATATTACTGTACCCGGAGCCCCTGAAGAAGATGAAGGACCTAGCACACTAGATGAGCCTGTATTGGAAACATTAGTAAGTTGTATTTGAACGGTATTTCGATGTTTCTAGCTTGTGATCATCCACTATGATTTCGAGACACTGATGTTTATTTCTGATTTGTTTCATCTATCATTTCATACTTTCTGATATAGAAGCGAGATTTAAAAGCCGTGGGAAAGAAATTTCTTCATGTTCTTCTTCCAAGACAAAGCAAGAGCTTATTGAGAGACTGTAAGAGTGTTTTTTTCGATCACACTTACTTATGTTTGTTTGATAGAAGTTGAAGTAAGCTTACAGCTATTATTCAGATCTGTTGGGTCTAAAACCTTATATTAGAGAGCTTCTGTTTTAATTGAATTCTGACCGTATATTTTCTCTCGTCAGGGGATCTTTGGGGTCCGTTAATCCTCTGTGTTTTATTAGCTATGTAAGTATACATTTGATGTCATGGGTTTGATGTTATCATCACGTTAATTATTATTGTGAGAATGCCTTAAACTGGTATAAATTTAATTTATCCCACGATGTAGCGTGCATATGATCTTTTGATCCATGAGCTAAAGCTTGTATATCAAACATTTTTTTAAGCCTTAAAATAATTTTTAAGGCTTAAAGATTCCTAAGAAGGCATAAGGGACATATTTTACATTTGAATGACTCTAAAACATGTCGGTTCTTTTTCGGGGACAAGGATAAGTGACCATTGAATGCATAATGTTGACATTGTAGAGTGAAGAGAGTGAGTATTTCTTTTGGAGTGAGAGCATTTGCCCCCGTGAAGTGTTGAAGGTGTTGATTAGTAGAGGTTCCAAGACTGTTTATATTATTTTTAATAAAAATTTTTAGTAGATTATGGCCCAGTTTCATTTAACAAAGTGGAAATAAAATAAAATATTCAAATATTTAAAATAATCATCAAGCCTTTTAGTTTGCAATTGCTTTGTACATTTAAATGTCACCTTTGCAGTTCTATAAAATGTTGATGATTTAAATTTCTTCTTTGGGGATGTGATTAATGCTGCCCATACTAATAACATATTTTCTGAAAGTTGTGGTATCCATAGTAACAAATGGCCACCAAAACAGCTAATAATTTGCTTTTTGCACAGGCTTTTAACACACAATATAATATATTGTCTAGTATTATAACCTGAAGATCATTGGTTAGACTCCTTTTGGGAGTACAGTACTTAGATTTTTTTAAAAAAATGAATCTACATTCACTTCTTTGCTCCTCCCTCTCGGCTTCTTAAATGCTAGTTAGCAAAACCTTTGCTGCTTACTGCACATGGGTATTTTATTTATTTAGCAATTAATGAATGAGGCTGAGTAGGATATGAAGAATTAAACAGATTGATGAGGGTGTTATCCACAGAGGCTAAAGGCCAAGGTGGATAACACCTTGCGAGATCTGCTTAATTCTTCATATCCTGCGAAAGCCGAATTCATTAATTGCTTTATTATTCATTCAAAATAATTCCTAGTTTGAAAACATAGCTAAAACATGCTTACCTGCATCGATGTTAAGTTCATCTTCGGAAGTGTACATTAAGGTTTTCGCAAATACTTCAAATAGAAGATGTCACCCTCCGAGATGTCTTCTTGCTGTTTTTTCCATGTTTTTAGCTATTATTTCACCTAGTTCCTGCTGTAGTTCTTACTCTTGAAACGAGTGAAATGTCCGCTGTTGTTTTTTTTTTTTACAACCAAAACAACTGAACCTTGTCCCCAGGTCTTCTCGGTAAGGGTGCCTTAACCTGTAGCAGGCTGCATTTTTGATGTCATTTCCTTGTTAAACACAAAATTCTTCCAAATCTGGTCATCAGTAACTGGTTTTGGTGAATTATGCATGTGCTTTTAGCCAGTCAGAATTGGGGAAATATTTTGAATGAATAATAACATGATTTATATTGACAAGATCTGTTGGATCAATATTATTGTTTACTCAAGACAACCAAATGTTTTGAGAGGGCTGTGTGATATATTCATGTGCATGCTCATGGGGTTGATTTTGATGTGTAGGATGTTACAAGGACACAAAGTGGTAGACAGCAACAATGACGGCGGGCCACAGTTTGCGGAAGTTTTTGTGGTGGTGTGGGTAGGATCTGCAGTCATCACTGTAAATTCAAAGTTATTGGGTGGAACAATGTAAGTATTGTGTATTATAATATTTCAACCATACTATGCAAATCCTCACAAATAATCACAAGAAGTATTGGGTGAGCCATTCAGGCATGTGTAAAACTGTCCATGAGATATGACGTCAGAAATAAGTTGTTCAATCAGTAGGGATGGACAAGTTGTGTCCTGATGATATTACTACTTGTTAATTAACTGGAAAAATGATTGCTATTGGTCAAACATTCTGTCATTGATGATGCAAAGGGCTCTGTAACAACTTTGCAACTAATGTGTTAGTTGTACAGATCAACAAATTAATGATTATCGGTTATAATAAAACAAGAAGTGATAATATATATTTTTTAAATTATCTAGTATAACTGACAATTATTATGGTCAACTAGTCAATGTGAGCTGTTGACCAAAAAGTGGCTGTATCTGTTGTGGTGCAATTTTATCCTTGGTTTAAATTGTATTTTTCTTTGTCTCAAACTCATTATCACTCATTATCGTACCCAAAGACAAAGAAAATAAAATTTAAACCAAGAACAAAATTGAGCCACAACATATCCACGCTGAGGCTGAAGAACACATTTTCTTAGCTGGTCAAAACTTCACATTGATATGTCAGATCTTGGACACCCGTCTTAAAATAAGTCAAGGGTGGGGAGGGAGAGTTCATCGTGTACATGATGGTTGGTAATATTTGTAGCCTGAAAACTCATCTTTTTCTGTTGGCAAATATTTTAAATAGGTTTCAGTCCTGAGCATTTCAGTGCTTGAAGCTAAATTTTGATTGAAGTTTATCAGGGTTTGAGAAAGTGGAACTCTACTGTATCTGAATTTATGCTAATCCAATGATAATTTTCCCTTTAATACTGCAGATCATTTTTCCAGAGTATTTGTGTGCTTGGATATTGCATTTTACCTCTAAATGTAGCATTGACGGCATGCCGGCTTATCTTAATTGCTAAACAGTCTACTCTCCTATTTGCTGTTCGATTTATTCTGGTCATACTAGGATTTGTTTGGTCAACAATTGGTAAGTCAGAGTACTGTGTAAGTTGTAAGTTAAGCAACTGAATTGTTGTTCCAGTTTAACTGTATTGAACATATGCCCCCACCCCCTTCCCCCCCAAAGACACTGGTGTTTTCCATCTCTGCCAACTCTGGACAGAGCTTTTGCCACCTACTAAAAACCTTATTGAACACCCTGTAATGTGGACATTTGAAATCATTCCCTGTATTGTCTAATTTGTGATTGTGCTGGAGAGATTATAGCCAGTGCCACAGATGAAACTAAACTCTGGTTAAGTCTGTCTGTGAAACAACATGGAAATCTAGTTCTGGGCGTCCATTTTTGTACTAGGATGTGAGTACACTCCATGATTGGTCTGTTTTGAAAAGAAACTGAAAACATCCTTCTGGTAATTCATTGAGTCCATTGGGAATATGGAATAAGGATCTTGGCACCGCTTGCCAGACGTTACTAACCTAGGTTAAATTATCATTGTCTACGTCGTAGGCTAGGGAGATTACAGTCCTCTTATGACATTTGCAAGTGTTATGGAGCTCAAGACTCGCCTTATCCTGTGTACAGCTCCTCCAACCCTCAAACAAGGGCCCAATTTTTTTCCTGAAGGGAGGGGGAAGCTGTACACTAGCTAGAATACCTTTAGGCTCACTAGCCATATGTCTACTGAAAGGATAGTAATTTCACGAGGTAGAATTCAACTCTTACTAAGGGGGTGTTTACATGACAAAACCGGCAGCAGCGCTAGTTCCATACCAGGATGACTTCTTGATTTCATGATGCGTTTACATGTTTGGATGTTTTTTCCTTGTCTCATGGCCAACATGACGATGCCATCCTGAACTGATGAAAACTACACGTGCGCTACCCATTCCAGCCCACAGGCAGACGGATTTCACACCGAAACAATTTTTTTTATTGGTCGATACCACTGCAAAATTTCCTACCGAAGTGAAATTCACACTCCAGTACAACAACCGAGGTGAACTCATGCCGGTGTGACCCGTGCCAGCGTGACATCTTGTGGTGATATCATGAAACAAATACAGCTGGAACCGTAATGGACTCGCACCGCGTGAAAGTTTCCCTGGTGTCATGTAAACACCCCCTAACAAATCAGCAGTTCTCTGGTTAGTACTTATAAAGTTTAACTTAAACTAGCAGCATTTTGATTGAGCCATTCCGTTTGTCAAAATGAAACAAGAAAAATATTCAATCAACAGACAGTAAACAACCAAAAGGTCTTGTTGTTTATTGACTACTTGGCATCAGTGAAACGCATTATTTACCTACAAGTTTACAAATGATGATATTATTGTTGTCATTTTTTCCTAGACTTGTTAATGTTCTAAATATTGAAGCCCTGGTGAAAAGTTTGTTTTTTAACTGTTCTGACTTGTAAACATTCTTCCCCTAAAATTAACCCTCAGCTTCCCAAAAAATTTTTTGTGGAGATAAATAATATTATTGTACTTCACTCCACATTGTATTCATTTTCATCTCCTGGTTGTGAGTACGAATAATTCTCTTACTCACCGTCCTTCGAGTAAAATCGAGGCTTCGAGGCAAGTTAGGGCCTGTTTACGTGCAGGTGGGGTACCTCAAGTAGGTCATGTAACCCGCTTTGGTAGGGTAACCCGTCTGTCCGTACAATATTTGATCACGTTTACTTGTTAGGAGGGGTGACCCGCCGCATGTTACCTCACCTATCTGGGGTTCCCCCACCTCCATGTAAACAGACCCTTCTGTATCAAGTTGGGGTGATTTTTGTCTCTTAGCCTTGAGAAGTAGTTCCGGCAGTGAGCTAAAATATTTAGCTATTCTTTTCCTTTTCGTATTACATACAAAACTTTCTTTTGAATTCATAAACAGTAGGCGACCCTTTACCTTTCGATTTTCTCCACCGAAAAGTTGGTTGTAGGGTGATTGTGGATATAGCTAACGAGTGCTTTTGCGGTCAATAATTGACACGTTTGAATATCATATACATCTGAGTACGCTTTACAAGCAGTAATTTAAAATTCGCCTATCTATTCAATCTTATTTTAGCGTAAACATTAGTTCGTTGTGCGTGAGAAATTCCACTTGTTTATATTCTTCTGTCCTCAAGACATCGCATATTCTTTGCTTGTTTCCCTCACGTCGTCGGCTTCTCGCGGTATTTTTCAAAGAATGACAATTTTTGCTCACATGTTCAACTTTACTGAATTGATCCATCAGCTACAAGTCTTTAATCCCCACATTTTTTAAAAACACGGTTCAATTGTCATGGTTCCTTTGTTATTGTTTCTTTTCTTCTGGCTTTTCCGCTACGTCCGCTTGCTGGGGGAGATTAGGAGCGGCAGCTTTCTTCTCTTCTTCGTCAGGTTTTGGTTTTGGAAGTGTCGGGCAAGGACCTTGATCGCAATCAGCCGTCTCGCTCGCCGGTCCATCACACGGCTTTCCACCGTTGCTCGGCGCTGGGTTAGTACAGCTTCGAGTCCGTGTCTTCTGTCCTTTACCGCACGTCATCGAACAAGCGCTGTACTCACTCCACGCCGAAAATCCACCGTCTACAACTGGACAAGGCTCTGTGTTGCATGCTTCTTCTTGTCTCGTCTCACCCTCGCAGTTTTTCCCCCCGAACACAGGTGGTGGGTCATTGCATTGCCTCGTTCGAAACCGCTTTCCTCCGCCACACGTTTTATCGCATTTAGTAAATGCAGTCCACTGGCTGAACCTTCCGTCAACCGGACAGATTTTTAAGAAGCAAGGTTTCTCGTCCTTGCTTGGGCCGAAGCGATAACAGTCCTTACCATACCTCCCCGGCGGCGGGTTCTCGCACAAACGCTGTCGTTTCTGGGTCCCTTCACCGCACTCCTTAGAGCAGTCGCTCCAAGCCGACCATTCTGTATAACCGCCGTTTACAGTTGCCTTAAGGAACCAGTAGTAACCTCCGAGGAAAAGACAACCCAGAGCGACGGAAAACGTAAGCGTGGGCAAAAATCTTCTAGAACACATGTCTATCAATGTGGGATTTAACGTTCAAGTTCTAAACGAACTCGTTCATAACATCCTTCTTCAGTATACTCAGAATCAACCGGCCGTGACTCCGTCACTGTACTCTCTGTTTTATGCATAATTTAACACGTGGCAAGCGAAGATCTGAATTTGCATTTTGCGCCCGAAGTTACCAGAGAAACCGAGGGCAAAAAACTCGCGAAACTAATACACTGTAAGCGAAATATTTAAATGGAAATCATTTCGATGTTGCTTGTTGCTTGTTGCTTAACTAAAAGAGTCAAAAAGGTCTCGGCCCTGTTAAAACTGACGAGAAAAAGGCGTTTGCATCAGTACTGTTTTTAAACAATACTGATACTAAAACGCTTTTGTCCTCTTAAAATTCTTAAATATGAAGTTGAAAAGAAAAAAAAAAGGAAAAAAAAAAAGTTAGGCCCTTCATAACGTAGTCTGCTACACAGCCGTTTTTAGTGTCGTCACGCAACGCTCCTTCCCACAAACGCCGTTAGTGTGGAGGAGCATTGCGTGACGACACTAAAAACGGCTGTGTAGCAGACTATTCATAACGCGGAAATGTTTCCTACTCTTACTATTTTAGAGTCAATGTAATCATTTTCCTTGTCTCCCTCATACAGCCGTTTTTATTGTCGTCACGCAATGCTCTATTCTTTGTTTACAATAGCATTCTTTGGTCTAAACATTCATCGTCGTTTCTAAGTGTAGTCAGCACGCAGACGAAAATAAACTCTGGTTAACTAACTAACCAGAGTTTAATTTCGTCTGCACACAGGCTATTCTAAGTGTTGAAATTATGGAGAGCCGCAGGAATTTTTTTTCGTTATCAAATTCCTTGAAAGAAATTTTGTAGGCCATAGCATGAATATTTTTTAGGGTTAATTGGCGTGCATGAATTTTTTTTGTCATTTAATTTTCCCTTGCGCGAATATCTTTTTTGTACTTCGCCCCCCACCTCCCCCGCCCCCATAAGTTTTTTAATGGCCCGTCCCAGGAGCCGATTACTTTTAAGTAATCGGCTCCTGCCCGTCCCTAATTCAACATAAGCCAATGGTCGACTGAGTACAATAACATAAAGCAGTATGACGTAACAAGAACAATTTATTGTTATTGTGGTTAAAAATTATTGATTCGTTTTGAGGCGATATTCTTTCTTGTGCTCTTGTGATATGTAACCCTCCTAACCGCAGGATGAAGAAATTTCGTCTGTACGATAATCTCCCTAGGACGAATTTTCGTCTAGATTTCCTTCTACAACAAATAAGATAGCAGTCCACGATTCCTTGTCACCATTTTTTTGCATTGTCGATGCCTATCCTGAAAACAGTTCCTTTCTTTTTCTCTTTTTTAGACAGAATTTTCCGGAATAAGCCAGAATGTATTTCTTTTCCAGAATAACGTCAGTCGAACATACCCTAATTCTTTTTTTTCTTTCCGTGTGTGTTTTTCTTGTAGCTTCTGTGAAATTTCTTGGAGACAGCCAACCAACTAACAGAAAAGCCCTTGCAGTGTATCCGATAGGCCTGTTTTATTTTGTCATTGGCTGGATGATCATTTCTCACTCAGGCTAGCAGGGAACATAATGCACAACATCTTACAAAGTTCTCTCTTCCGTCTTTTTAATCGCTGGGGATATTAAACCTTTTTTGCAGTCCAGTAAGAGTCTTCGGGGATTGACTGTTGAACCGACAGTTAAGGTTGCCAAGCGACAAGATGTATTCTGATAACGCAATGTTAATGTGGCATTTTTTCATTGGATAATCCGTGTTCCAGAAGTGGCGATCCTATTGGTCAGCGGTGGAATGGACCTTGCTATCTGTTGTTAGACCTTCAAGCGTCTTTAAAATGTGTTGAGGAAACTGAACAGGCCCCTACGGTTTGTGTTGAGGGCCTTTGAGTGTTACAAAGAACCGTGAAAACACAATGTTTAGTAGGCCTCTTCAATGTGCAGACAAGTCCGATAGTTTTTACTTCGTACAAGCAGAATATGTGAAATAGTCAGTGCCATCGCCGAAAACTTCGAAAAGATAAGTTGTCGCGGCAGTTTTCATTTGCAGTTCCTCATAAAATAAATATTAGAAAAATAAAGTAATGTACATAAACACGATGAAAACAAAAACCATTGGCGAAGGGTTTAACATCGGTAAGATCAGATTTTTATGTAGCGCGTATTTTCCACCCTTCTCGTGAAATTGTTTGCAACCATACAACGACTGCAGGGTTGTGGCCACCTAAGGCGTCATTTAGCCTGTGTACAGCCGCCTCCTCCCCTCAGAAATCAGAGAAGGGCCCCTTCTTCGATTTTTTTTCTGAAGGGAGTGGCGACTGTCATTGCTTCCTTTAAACATTAATGTATATTCTCAGAAGCGTATATGCTTCTGATATTCTCCACTCGGCCTTTCATGCATTTTACTGTTACTAATGATGAAAATTTGGTAAAAACAAAGCGATTTTGTCCTTGGTCATCATTTTGTGGTGAAAGTTTGAAGTGGTTGTTCGTAGGTGTTGTCGATTTGTTCGGGCTAATGGAAGTAGGTATATTTTGTATGTTTAGAGGGTTGCATATCGTTGGATCTGTGAGGAACAGAACTGTTTCTGTTGATCCGTTAGTGCAAAAGGAGAGGACAATAATGGACGATTAAAATTTATCGTCTTTATACAATACTCTGTATTGTCCATTAATTTTAGAGTTCGTTCGTTTGTTTATTCAGCGTTGCCTTTAAGATAATTGCCGACAGTCTAGTTGGACTTGCTTAAGCAAGGTAACAATTCATCGCTGATCTTTTGGAAAATAAAGGTTTATATCATAGCCAACTTTACCTACATAACAGAGCCTTCGAGTAAGCTTTCGACTTCGGGTGATAATGGTCGGGGACAGAAACCGGTAGAACACACGTCCCACCTTGGACTTGAGTGCTTGTCTAATGAGAAAGAGGAATTTTAAAAAACGCTAACCTTGGGTGGTCGCATTTCCTTACCAAAAAAAGACAAAAACGCTGGGAATATTAGAGAGTGTTGTTGAAATTGGTAAGACCCAGAACTTAACGAGAAGAATACCTCCATAGACTGCTAGGACTAAGTGTCCGGTATACATTTATAGCAGGAAATTTGTAATGAACCCTTTTATTGTAGTCTATACCATTCTGGCCTGCGTCGCATACGTAATCTCAATCTGAACAAAGAAGTGGCGGATCTAAGCCTTCAGATAAGGGGTGGGGTCCGGGGTTAAAAAATAAAATTTTTCGGCCCTTCGGGCCTCAGTTTAGTCTAATAATAAGGGGGGGCCTGCCCCCGGGCCCCACCCCAGGATCTGCCACTGGAAAGAGATTAGGTTCCGTCTGTGTACAGGCTTCCATTCCATTCATCGTCAATTTAATCCCACGAGAGGTCTGCCTGGGACTAAAGTGAGCGCTACACGTACGTAAAGTTTATAGATGTTTATATTTACGTTTACTTATACAAACTCTCAGAAATTGCTACTTATATTAAGAGTGGTCTAGTTAGGTAAGAGGCAGATATTTGAAATAAATCTCGTTCAAATATGAGTTTCAGGATTCTTTTTATTTCAAATGAGGAGGACCATTACACACTTGTTTTCCTCATTTGGGTCAACATCCCTCTTAGCTTTATTTAAATCATTGAAATATAAGTATATTTTTCTACACATTGACACAATTCTCCTTGCGGCTTGCGCCCGAACCCAACCGTGACAGAGTGAGCGGGACCTGAAACCAACTTTCGTTACCAGGCTAGCGCAACATAAGAACCGCCATTTTGATTTATGCACGTGGAATACTTTTTACATTGGGAAGAGTTTCCTGAGAAAGTTGACAGCAAAATGTCGTTTGGAGGAGCATCAAATAACTCCCAGATCGATCGGAAACTTCAGGAGGAACTGATAGCCGAAGATCAAAAGCAGAGATTTCAAAGCCAGATTCATGCCTTCACAGACATGTGCTGGGAAAAATGCGTTGATAAACCGGGCAGTAAACTGGATGGGAAAACGGAGACTTGTCTCGTAAATTGCGTGGAAAGATTTCTAGATACGAACATTTTCATCGCCAAACGGTTCGCTGAAAAATTTAAGGGATGAGCGTCGAGGATCTTCAGGTGTTCTTCGATCGCTACACGAAGTTCAAAATTCAGGACAATATAAAAGTGTCACAGGAACGCGATACATTGTATATTATTATTTGCGTTTGATTTAAACTTAAAGACATCTTGGATTTACCTGTGCAATGGGCTAATACCGTGAGCTGGGACCGCGTAAGAGCAAGACGTTGTTTTGTGCAGCATTGGAGATTTGGAGTTACCTTAGCTTCAGGTGTCGGTGGTGTACGTGGATTGGTATTGCGTTAGTGGCCGCATAGTTTTCTTGAATGAAACTCAGGGATAAAGCACAGCAGCCCCAGAACCATTTATTACTTCTCATTGAATCACAATTTACATGCCTCAGTCTTTGCATCCTCGGAGACCCAGGGGCAGATAGTGGGGGCAAACAAAAGTCTCAACGGGTGGAAAAATATGGCACAAAGAAAAGTAAAGAACGGTGACAAGAACCCCTGGGGACAATGTCTTACCAGACCAGTTCCAAACGGTTGCCGCCGTTCTGACTTCTGATTGGTGCCAGAAAACTTTTGTGTTTTTCTGCCCAATCAGAAGTCAGAACAGCGGCGACCGTTTGGAACTGATCTGGTAAGACATTGTCCGCAGGGGCTCTTCTCCCCGTTCTTTACTTTTCTTCGTGCCATATTTTTCCGCCCATTGAGAGCTTCCCTCGCCACTACTATCTGCCCCTGGGTCTCCGAGGATGCAGTCTTTGAAGAGTCCCACAAATAATTGTCAAATATGCCTCATTCTGCAAAGTGTTCCAGAATGTGTTCTGCATGAATTCTCTCTATCTTCAAAACTGCTCCACTGACTCGTTTCCACTTCTCCTCCTTCCTGTTGTGGCACAAAAGAATCAGCCTCCATCACAATGACGAAACTACAGCTCTGCGGGCAGGGTTATCTCATACTTGCTTCAAGTATAATGAATGCAAGTAATCTTAGCAATTTGTGGTTTCATTTCACAGAAACCAAGAAATGTTGGCTTCATTGCTAAATGTACCAGCATGTTCTTAGTTCTACCACTTTCTAGTTCCATTATGTGCATTATTGACTGTTAGTAGTCATCGGGGGGGGGGGGGGGGGACCCGGGCAATGAAAGGGGGGGGGGGGGTCGGGGCCCCGCTTGGGCGTTGGGGGGTGAAATTTTGGCTTTTTGTTTCTATTTGGGGGTTTTGGGGAAAAAACACTAATTTTTAGCCCAGAAAAGCTGGTT